CTCCACCAACTGAGTCAGCCAGGCGCCCCTCAATTTGATGTTTGTCTCCCCTGCCCCCCGCTTTTTTTTAAAGTAGGCTCCAGCATGGAGCCAAATGCAGGGCTTGAACTCACAACCATGAGATCATGACTTGAGCTGAATTTAAGAATCAGACGCTCAACCGACTGAGCCACCCAGGCTCTCCCAATTTGATTTCTCTTGACTGGAATATGGTTATACTAGCCTTTTGTTGGGAGGGTCAGATATAAGATATTCCATATTTCTATGACAGTGAGATTTGTTCTCAGGTACAGGAATGCTTCTCACTGAAAAGGACAAGAACTTATGGAAACATGGCCCTTAGACATATAAGGATAGGGGCTTCAACTCCACCTTATGAACCACTGACCTCAAAATGTCTTCCCTTGATCTCCATTTTGTCATAATATATCAGTTATATATATGTGTGTGTGTGTGTGTGTGTACATATACATATAGTAACAGTTATATGTAGGTGTAATGGGATAGCAATATTACCGTACAGACTTGTTAGGAGGCTTAAATGAAAAAATGCATACCTGACATACAGAAAATGACCTCGCAGGGAAGGAAGGAAGTGGAAAAGAATGCAGCTGGCAGAGATGAAAGGTCAGAGAGAACTGAGGGCTCCTGACTCACCCCTAACAAGTAGCCATGATTGTTACACACACCTTCTTCAGCTTATGATGGGGTTATGTCCCAAAAGACCCACTGTAAGTTTAAAATATACTAAAATGCACCTGGTCTCCCTAACCTCTCAAACACCAATCCTTAGCCTAGCTGACCTTCAACATGCCCAGAACACATACATTAGCATACAGTAGGGCAAAATCATTGAACACAAAGCCTCTTTCACAAAGAAGCACTGACTAGCTGAGGGAAATGGCTGAACCCGCTCGGAGAGTGACAAACAGAAGGGCCATGCAGATACAGAACGGCTGCCACGTACTGCTTGTTCACCCTCGTGATGATGGGTGGTTGACCGGGGGCTGCAGCTGCTGCCTGGCGTCATGACGGGGGATCCACTGGATGGCGCCAGCCCAAGAGAAGAGCCAAAGTCACCATCCAAAGGATGATTCCTACTGAATACTTATAAAGCATAAAGTTGAAAATGTGCAAGTCAAACCGTCGTACGCTGGGGACCTTCTGTACTAAACAGAGCGCAGAGGTGATGGAAATAGGAGATTAAGTATCAGGGCTTTTTTAGTTGTACAAATTTCTCACTCTTGTTCACAGGGGAACTCTGGATCTTTTCCCAGCTCAACTCCCACCCATCCTATCACTAAACTGTCCCTCCAGCTTCCAGGGCAGGAAGGTACGTCAGTCAGTACCACCTGTGGACAGGGAAGGGGTAATTTCTGACCCCAGAGGCGCTAATTTACAGCCACTCAGAGTGGGCATGTAGCAAGGCTCAACACAGAAACTAAGTAACACAGACAAAAGAGTGACAGAAGTGGGCTACGGGCCATGGCGCTACATTCCAGATGATCCCAGCAGACCAAAAAAAAGAGTCACACACATCCAGCTTCAGTCATCAGTGCAAACGAGGCCAAAGCTCTCCCTGACCTTTGGTCACGCTGTGGGGTGATGGTGAAAACAAGGGCAAAAGATAAGTCCCCATACTCCTCTGGCTGCCTATCAGTTACGCTCTTGGTCTTTTACCTTCTCTCCCTTTTCTGCCTCTACTTCTTGGTCAGACTCCAGCTGGATCCATTTGGTGCCTTAATGATGGTGCTGGTCAAGGTTGATCCAATAAACACAGTGACAACAGTAGCTGATGTCTATTTAGAGTGCCAGTCACTTTGTACTCTCCCTGTGTCATGCCATTTAATCCTAAACAAAATCCTAGACAGCAGGTACCAATATCATAAGCAAGGATTCTTGAAGTAACAGTTTGCTCCAGGCCTTATAGCTGCCAGAGGGGGGTTAGGACTGAAACCCAAGGGATGGGAATCCCGAGCCTCTCCCTTTACCATTCACTTCCCTGGCTCCAAAGGAGGTTTGGGGCTTGGACATATGCTCCCTACCACAGAGGTTTGGGTGTAAATACAGCCCTGAGGTTTTAGGTCTAGAACTGAATTTTGCCCTGTGTCTGGGTAATTTTCCCAACTTTCTGGTAAAGAAACTTTGTTTCATCTTTGGAGGATCTTATGAAGCTTTAGGATTTGTTTGTTTGTTTGTTTGTTTCTTGTTGTTTTTCTGAGTTGCCAGGGCTGTGAAAAGCCCCAGAGGTCAGGAAGCACCCCCCTGCACCTGCCTCTGGCCTCCTCTCTCTGACCTGCCTACAGGAAAGGAGGTGCCAAAGGACAGGACAAGGGCATGTTATACAACCCTTTATGGGGCTTCCATGTCATTTCTGGCTGAAGGTCCTGGCCAAGTCAGCTAGATTCAGTCATCCATTATCTGTATTGCAATTAATGACCACCTATGTGGGGGAGGTACATAATGTGAGGATGACAGCCACCTCTTAGCTATGGGTTTAGGTGTGACAACACCTTTATTTACATAAGCACTCTCAGCTACTTCACCAAAGTCCCAAGTTTAACCATTGCTTAAGCAACTTTGCATTCTTGAAGGATCAAATCTGGAAGGGCAAGTCCCTCTTCTAGATAATATTCTATTTTAAAATTATCAAAAGGTTAAAGTCCTGTAAAAAAAATCTGCCCCTCCCCCCCACCCCCCGGGGAATGTAGTCATCAAGTGTAGGTAGCCTCAGTGATCCTTCTGATGCAAGTGGTCTTTGGACCACAATTTAAGAAACACTATTTAAACTTTAACATCTTATCTCGTGATGGATATTTCATTCCACTTAATGTTTCTTTTGAGTTTATCTTCCAACTTATCTCACCTCTGATGGTAAATTCCTTTCAAGCAGGCATTATGTACAACCGTGCCTGCATCACTGGAAAGGCCACAGTGCCTACATGTGGCAAACACTCACATGCCTACTGACCAGAGCTGACTACCCCATAGGCCCTTTGAAGCCTCTAAAGCTGTTTTCAGTTCCTAAGTTTCTGAATCTCTCTGGGGAAGTCGCGATCCTCTCTCTAGGACTGGAGTGGCACTGTACCCAGGGTAGTGGCGAGGAAGCAACAATGTTCCCGTCTGATCCCATAATTAATGGAGCTGGGCAGCCAGCCCAAACCATCAGGATGGCATATTTCTCAATTGCTGGGCCCTAAGGTCACCAGCCAAGTTCTACTCCATTTCCTTGGGCTGAAGTGGGCCAAGAAAACAGTCAAGTACATCAGAGTGAAGCCGTGGGAAGGCAGCCAGATCCCACTGGAGGGGGCAGGAGGTTTACTTCACTACTCCTGCTCCAGGCCCAAATACAGCATGGCAAAGCTGTGCTACTTTGGCACCTTGCAAATTAGGAAAAGGCTCTGTCATCCATGGGTCTGTGTCCTCTTACAGGAAAGGAAGTTAATGTCAAAAGAACACATGCTAACAGTGCCTTTCCAGTCCCATGGCCAATAGGGCCGCTGTAATCTCATTCAAGTGACCTTGGGATCAAACTGGCAAAGCCAACCTCAAGTCCGAATGAAGCTTTCCAGTAGATACATACCAACTCCAATAAATGTTGTGTACAACACTGTTGTTGGTCGAAAAAGGAAGTTTACAGAAAAGGGCCTAATACCCTAGTATTTGCAGGGCAGAGAAGGAAAGGGCTATATGTAAGCATCCACTTGCATCTGATGGGGTTTCTTCAGAAGACCAGAAGCAAATGATAATACAAATTTTCCTCCAGGAGATAACCTGGGAAACAAGTGTGAGTATAAGCTATTTCATTGGGTTTTTTTTGTGTGGGGTTTTTGATAACTTCTGGTTTTGGAATGTGACTATAATTACATACTCAGTATAATTATATTTTTAAAAATTAGTTTTCAAACATTCATTTAATTTTTATTTAGCATATGCCAGGCAATAGGGTAGATGCTGTCCTCAAGAGCTGGAAAGGGAAGAGTGGAAACAGATAATGAAATAAATCATTACCATGCATGGGGGTGTGGGGGTGGTGTGGCACAAGGAGAGGCCACTGGCCTTGCTGGGATATTAAAGTAGAGAACCAAATAAGGTTTCCTCCAAGGGCTGAAAGGGTACAACTCTGTACTATTTATTCTATACCAGTCTCTCGGATGTGCAAGGAAAAAAAGTGCACAACAATGGGAAAATGACTGAAAATATCAGAGTCCGTATTATATTCTGCTTCCTTCCTCCTACCTGGCCCCATTTTCCTCTACACTAACCCAACATTCGAGAGAAGCAAAGTTTGATAAAGGGAACTAAAAGAGCTGACATTTACAAAGTGCTGGTACTAATGTTAGAAGTCAAATAGAACGTAACGGAGATGCGAAGCTTCGCAAATATCGCCCCCAGAGAATTCCCACCGCCCTTGGACTACGCCGGGAGCCAGGCCTGTTGGAACTTGGATTTTCTTATCTTCTTAAGATACTGGACGTATCAGAACCGGTGAGCGAGACCCGCACTTGGACAGGCAGCGCTGGTCCCGGCCATGACCCGGGTAGCAAAGCGCCGTTTAGCCCCTCTCTGCCTTGGTTTCCTCAACAACCAAACTACAGTAAAAATGCTCGAGTCTCCACCAATTCCTCGACCCAGGCGACCCAGCGAGGAGAATGCAGAACGCTCTTAGAATGGTACGCAAAACACCCGGGCGTGGCGAGCAGGTGGCCTCCGTGCGCCCGCCGCGCGATGACCAGAGCGCAGACAGGTGCCCGCCGACACGCAACGCCCTCTCGCCGCGCTGCCCCCGGCGGGCACGCGGGCCCAGGGCCTCCCGGGCAAGTGCCTCGGCGCGGCCTCCCCGGGTGCGCGGTGCCCAGCCCGACAGCGAGGCCGCCCGCCCCGCCTCCCCGCGCGCGGTGCCCGGTGCCCACGCTGCGGCGGGGACGCGCGGCCCTAGCCCGCCCGGGAGAGGGGCTTCCTGGAGGCGGAGCCCGCGCCGCCGGCCCGCCGCCGCTCACCAGTTCCCCGAGCCCACGATGCACACTTTCAGGGGAGCCGCTGCCATGGCCAGGCTGGAACGCAGCAGCCCGGCCCGTGCCTCCCCAGCCAGCCGCCTGCCTGCCTCCGCGCCCACGGCTTTGCCCACAGCAGCTCGCGAGGGCCCCGCCCCTCCCGCCTCTCCGCCAATGGCCGCGACCACCGCCGCCCGGGCGCCCCGGGCCACAGCTGACAGCCTGGGAGGGCCCGCCCAGCCACTCCCGAGAACCACTGCGCACGCCTGAGCCCGGCTGGCCTCCGGCACCGCCCCGCCCCCGCCCGAAGCATGCCGGGACTTGTAGTCCACTCCCCCGTCGCCCGCCGCAGCCGCGCTCCCCTGAACGGCGGCTGCTGCTGCGCCACGTGGGGACCTGGGTGGTTGCGCAGCTTGTCTCGCCGCGCCCGGGGCTGCACCGTCGTGGTGCCCGACCCCGCTCGCGCCCTTCTCCCCACGCGGGAAGAGCGGCTACGCTGCAGTTTGGAGCCGAGAGAGGATCCCAGGTTGACTCTGGAGTCGACAGACTTGGGCCAGAGCTCCAAGCACCCACACCTGCCTCTGCAGCCTCCGCCCCGTTTGTCGGGGTTGGAAACAGCCCGGCACCCCTCGAACTGCTTAGTGATTTGTGTTTTCTGACGCCTTCTGGACGTGGCTGGACTGTACTCGAGCGTCAGGATGAACACTTTCTGGTTAGTCAAGAGAGAGACCCGGACACCTGCGGCAGCACACTCCCCCACTCGCTGGGCGGGACGTGCCTGCTCATTGCCTTTACCCCGGGGCTCCTGGAGAGCTTGTGGTTCGGAAGCTACGCTTCCTCCTTCCGGACAAATAGAACATTATTTATTCATTCTGAGTGTCACTTTCCCCCAGGCACCGCGCTAGACACTGGTTGACACCAGTGGCTCTCTGGAGCTTTGAAAAACCACCGTGGCCCGGCACCACCCCAGATCATCAGAATCTCCTGGGACGGGACACAAGCCTCAGAACTGTTTAGGGTGGCTCAGTCTGTTAAGCATCTGACTTTAGCTCAGGGCATGATCTCATGGTTCATAAGTTCGAGCCCCACATCAGTCTCAGTGCTGACAACTCAGCCTGGAGCCTGCCTCAGATTCTGTGTCTTCTTCTCTCTATCTGCCCCTCCACTGCTCGTGCTCTGTCTTTCTCTCTCAAAAATAAATATTAAAAAAATAATAATAATAAAGTTCAAGGTGATTGCAAAAGGCAGTAAAGATGAGAACCAATGAGCTCAAAATCAGTGAGACTGGCTGAAGAAACAAAATGCTCTAATACCTAGAAAAATACGAAGCCTATTACGTTTGATGCCCAGAGGATCAACAATTATTTTTGTTTTCGTTTTTAGAGTCTGAAAGATTTATCTTTAATACTTACGCTATTTACTTAAGGAAATACTTAAAGGAGTGGGTGGGACAGATTTTTCTCCCTTCCTTCACTGATGGTTTGCTCTCAATTATTTGCGCTAATGGAAAGATATCTAGGCAGGGATGATATGAAAGATCGACTTTTCAAGCTTTATTAAGTTTTTTCTTGCATTTTTGTTAGGAAATGAGATGGTCAAATAATGAATTTATGGACTGGGGGAGTATCCATGCATTGCAAAGATTTATACCAAGCGATCCATTTTTCGCCTTTGCCTGAACGGTTTATACCTCATCTGGAGACTTCTTTTCTCTCATGCAATTACAGCTGCATGGTAATGAGCTGCCGGCTCTTCTGCGGATGTATCCTTCAAAGCATTGTCACACAGAGTTTACTGACGACCCGATACACACCACACATTGTCCCAGAACATAGTGAGTTCTCGTGTATTTGTATAGACTGGTTACAAAGACTAAGACAAAAACTAAACAGGTGAAACCCATGAACATAATGTTGAGAGAATACAGCAAGTCGGAAAAGAAGGTGAGCAGTATGATACCATTTCTGTTATTACAGACACAGGCAAAATGACATCTATCAGTAGGGATACACACATGCATAGTAAAACATAGTAAAGGAAGACAAGGAAAAGATGAACACGAAATGCAGGACTGTGGTTATGGTGGAGGGGAGGGTTGGTTATTCTTTGTAGCTTTTGCATATATTGTAAATGCTTTTTAGTACATATGTAATAAAAATCACGGGGCTGGGGGAGAAGGTACAGTACGGAGGAGTGACCAAAGCCGATTTTGATGGAGCTGGTCTTCTGGCTTGCTTCTGGTCATCCAGGACAGCAATGCTGACATTGGCCTTCTGTGTGTCACCTTCCCAAGAAGGTAGAGAAGCCTGGAAGATGAGTTAGGCAGTCTCATTGTGCCAGGGCCTGGAGAAGCCACAGGGCGGATATAGGATTTGGTGCCCAGAGGCAGTGTCTCTGACGTGACTGGTGTACAAGTGTGTCACGGTAAGAACTGGCTAGGCAGCTAGAAGAAGCCAGGCAGCACTTTGGAAACTCAGCCCAGAAAACTCGATCGCTAGGTCCCTGATTTCATGAAGTACACCTTTTAATTTACTGCATTACAGGAGTCAAGGACAACAGTATTGCCAAACTTTTTTTTAATGTAACTAGACTCTCCTTGCCTCTAGCTCTGGATCACGTGTTTCCCAGTTGTGTTAAGTCCTCACCACCAACCCCGTAGTGGCGCTAACACCCTCCTAGAGGCCTTTCTGACTTCCCCTGGCCGCCGGGTCCCCAAGCCAATGCTGCACATTATGTGACAGCGGCATCCCACTTGCAGGTAGTAAAATCTGTTCTAGGTATCACTTGTTGCATAAAAAACCAACCTCGAACTTAGATCTTTTTTTTTTTTTTTTTTTTTATTTATTTCTAGGAGAGAGAGAGAGAGGGAGAGAGACAGCGTGAGCAGGGGAGGGTCAGAGAGAGAGGGAGATACAGACTCTGAAATAGGCTCCAGGCTCTGAGCTGGCAGTCAGCACAGAGCCTGACGCGGGGATCGAACCCACGAACCGCGAGATCATGACCTAAGCGAAAGTCGGACACTTAACCGACTAAGCCACCCAGGCACCCCCGAACTTAGATCTTAAACAACCATGTTCAATTATTTCACCCCAGAATATGCGGTTTAGGCCAGACTCAGAGAGGAAGGGTCCTTCTGCCAGGCGGATGGACGTTCAGATAGGACCAGAGGAGCCATCTCCAAGATGGCTTGTTCCCATGGCTGGCCGGCTGGTGCTGGCCGCTGGCTGGGGGCTCAGCCTCAGCTGCGGGCTGCAGGCTGTGGGCCTGTGAGCCTGAGTCTTCTCCGTGTGGACCTCTCCAGAAGAGGCAGAATGCCTGGCTTCTGCCAGCCAGCATCCAGAGAGAACTGAGACAGAAGTTGCCAGTTTCTTAGGACCTGAACCCCCAAATCTGATCTTTTGGTCAAGAAATCATAGAGCCCAAATTCTAGGGAAAGGGACATATAATGAATCCTTCCAATTAGAGTACGACAGATTTTTTTAAAAAGTTTTTAAAATGTTAAGGAAAGGAAAATACACGTGTAGTATTGTACTGTATTTACTGAAAAAAAAAAGTCATGGGTTTGAACTGAGCAGGTCCATTTAGACCCAGATTTTTTTTTTCAATAAGTATACATACGGTATGGTAAATGCTATTTTCTCTTCCTTATAATTTTCTTTTTTTTTACATATATATTTTTTTAATGTTTTATTTATTTCTAGGAGAGAGAGAGAGAGAGACAGCGTGAGCAGGGGAGGGTCAGAGAGAGAGGGAGACACAGAATCTGAAGCAGGCTCCAGGCTCTGAGCTGGTAGTCAGCACAGAGCCCGACACGGGGCTTGAACCCACGAACCGTGAGATCATGACCTAAGAGAAAGTCGGACGCTTAACCGACTAAGCCACCCAGGCGCCCCTTCCTTATAATTTTCTTAATAACATTTTCTTTTATTTTTTGTCATAAGAATATAGTGTATAATACATATAACCTACAAAATATGTGTTATTTGACTGTTTATGTTATCAGTAAGTCTTCTGATCAACAGTAGGCTATTAGTAGTTAAGTTTGGGGGGAGTCAAAAGTTATATAGGGATTTTCAATTGGGGGGGTGTCAGCACCCCTAACACTCACCTTGTCCAAGGATCAACTGTGTATTTTCATACCTGAAGTGAGGACATTGAGGTACAGACTCAAAAAAGACTTTCTAAACTTCCTGTGGGGAGTCAGGGCCAGGCTTTTCGGATTCCATATCCTATACTCATCTAACTATGCATTCATTCAACACATGTTTACTGAGCACTTACTATGTGCCAGTCACTGTACTGGGTCCCAGGGATTAAATATTAGATGAGAGGTGGGGTCCCTTCCCTCTTAGGTACTTAAATTTAGAGGGAGATGGAGGCCAGTTAACAAATAATTACCCTGTGGTGTCATAAATGCTACTGGTTTACTGTGGCAGCCCAGGGAGGGGAAAACAAACAAAATAAAACAGAACAAAACAAAGCCTATCTCAGACTTTGGGTTTCAGATAAAGTTAAGATCTCTTTTGAAGCCTGAAGGGCAAGTCCCCAAGGCGAGGGGGCAGGAGGGCGCACGTGAGCTCTTCCAGGCAGAGGGAACAGCGTAGGCAAAGATGCAGAGACCAGAGAGAGAATGACTTGTTCAGGAACTAAGAGGAGCTCAGTGTGGATGGAGGGAAGAACAGATCACCGGCTTGTGTCACAGGAAGAGTCCCCTGGATGAACTGGTTCACAGGAGGAGGGCCAGGAGCCAGAGGCAGGGAAGAGCCTGCTGTAGTGTTCTCTATGAGAAATGGCAGTGGCTTAGACTAGGGTGGACACCAATGTAGCAGTGACGGTGATTGGGGAGGAGAGGGGGAAACTGAGACAGACATACCCAGGAAGCAGAAGAATGCGAGTGACCACTTTCTTGAGTGGAGAGAGGAAGGAATCTGGGATGACTCCCGCTTTTGGGCTTGGGCAAGTGAATGACTATCATTAGCTAAAACAGGGAAAGAGGAATGGATCTGAAGAGCAGGATGGTGAGCTCTGGACCAGTTAAGCTGAAGGACGGATGCCTGGCTGACTCAGTCATGTGAACGTGCAACTCTTGGTACCGAGGTTGTGAGTTAGAGCCCCACCTTGGGG